ACAGAACTGTCTGCCCACAGCGAGTGAATCCTCTGGGTGAACTGTTTTGCTATTCTCTTACCTCCCTGGTGGGGTGCGGATCACAAGGTCAGGAGATCAAGACCATCCTGGCTAACACAGTGAAACAGGGCGTGCGGGTTTGCTTTGCATGAAGGCGTCCTCGGGAAGCAAGCGCCTCTCAAGGCACCGCAGGGGCACCGCAGGGGCCGGCTCAGCCCGTGGTCAACGCTGTCTTCTTGGTGGTGGAGGTGGCTGGGCTGTGACGTTCCTTTAACCTGTGAATCCTCTGCTCAGGGTTGGACGTGGTGCCCGGCGGCCTTCCTCTGACTGGGTTTGTGGTGCCATCGCAGGACAAGCACCCGGAAAGGGGCGGCCGCACCTCGGTAAGGACTGGCTCTGTCCCACGCTCTGTGGTCCTGGCCACTCCCGCTTGCCACGTGTGTGATGGGGTTGGCTCACCGCTGGCCTCTGGCCCCCAACGCAAGTGCAGGGGCCTCTCAAGAAGGTCTCTGCTTTCCAGAAGGCTGCCACATCCTGACATCCGTGAGCAGAGCCACGGACCCACAGCCGCCCCGGCGCCCCTCTAGGGGCTCTGCCACAAGGCTTCTGCCTTTTCTGTCTGTGACTCCGTGGGGCACCTTGGGGCTGAGGCCCCAGAGCCTGCTCTGTCCCGGGTCCCAGGAGTGTAGAGGGACCACAGTTTCTCAGCGCGGCTGCCCCATCCAGGCACTCTCTGCTCGTTCCTCAGTAGCTGCGAGCTCACTGAGGGCTTGCTATCCCTCCCCTCTGTGCAGGTCCGGGCTGGGCTCCAGAGCACAGCTGAGCAGACTGGCCCGGCCTCCCTGTCAGTGTGCTGTGTGGGGAGGACCCAGGGTGGGAGCTGGCTTTTCTCTAGAGTGGACCTCCTCCCATTTGCATGTCAGTGTCAACCAAGCACTTCATGCCAAGGCCAGCCTAGGGACATCATCACATACTGGACCCGGCTGTCCTCTTGGCCAGGTCCCCGAGCTGCTTGGACTCAGGGTGCTTGTCCGTCACAGGGGACGGACACACCTCCTCAAAGCCTAGGTATCCCACAGCCTGGCCCACACAGTGCAGGAGCTGCCAGCGCTGTGAATTCACATCTAGCCCCATGTCTGGCCTCTCCACGGGCGCCAGGGAACCCACTGGCAAGAGCCAGAGGAACAAGCTAGTGCTTTGCTCTTCTGTGCTGCTCAGGGCCTTAGGGTCACTCGGAGGTTGAGCCCATCATGGGAACCATTTTGGAGAGGAAAGGAGAACGCAGGTCCTGGCTCCTGGCCCACCCTAACGCCACCTCCATGCGGGGAGATTCCCACTGCCCCAGCAGAAGAACAGAGGTGGGGAGGTGACGGCTCTTCCTCTCCTCCCGCTTCAGCTCTCCCTTGGGCTGCTGGTTGCTGACTTTGGTGCCATGGTCAATAACCCACACCTGAGTGATGTCCAGTTCCAGACAGACAGCGGGGAGGTGCTTTACGCCCACAAGTTCGTGCTTTATGCCCGATGCCCGCTCCTCATCCAGTATGTAAGTACGCAGGCCGCCGTGTGCCCTCCTTTCCTCTCTCTCCCTCTCTAATCCTGCCTTTCTCCAACCAGGCCTCCCCATGTCTCAGATGCCCTTTCTACCACCCCCATCTTCCTCACTTCCTGCCCCACAATGTTCTCACCTCCTCCCTCCCACCCATCCCTTTCTCTAACACACGGAGAAGAGATACAGACCCACGCTTGAGGTTAGGAGTGGGTGTGAGGGGTGGCCTTAGAACTGGGAAACATCAGTGTTTTGTTCTGTTGAATGAAAATCCATTGTTTGGCCAGGCGCGGTGGCTCACGCCTGTAATCCCAGCCCTTTGGGAGGCCGAGGCATGCGGATCACAAGGTCAGGAGATCAAGACCATCCTGGCTAACACAGTGAAATCTGTCTCTACTAAAAATTCAAAAAAATTAGCCGGGTGTGGTGGTGGGCATCTGTAGTCCCAGCTACTCGGGAGGCTGAGGCAGGAGAATGGCATCAACCTGGGAGGCGGAGCTTGCAGTGAGCTGAGATCACGCCACTGCACTCCAGCCTGGGCAACAGAGTCAAAAACAAACAAACAAAAAAGAAAATCCATTGTTTCCCAGAATTGTTTTCTCTTTCCTCTATTTGCATAATTACAAAAGCTCATAATTGATCTCTTCAGGGATGAGTTGCTGATGAACCTTCTGCTTTCTGACTGAAAGCATTTGACTTGAGTGTGGGCAGGAACTCAGGGAGCTATGCCCAGTCTCTGTCAAAGTTCTGGAGCCCAGTTGTGTCTATCAGGAGGACTCTAACTGGGTCCTAGAATATCTAGTCCCAATACGATTTGACAAAAGAGGAGTGTTAGGCCTCACCTGTAAAATTATTGGCCAAAAATCTGCATAAACAGTGCCTAATGCTTTTCCTGGGGCATGGAGCTGCTTATAAGACTAGGGACTGGGCACGGCAGCTCATGCCTGAAATCCCTGTACTTTGAGAGACTAAGGTGGGAGGATCCCTTGGGGCCAGGAGTTCAAGACCAGCTTGAACAACATAGTGAGAGCCCATCTCTACAAAAAAAATTTAAAAATTAGCCTAGGTGCTGGGCGCAGTGGCTCACGCCAGTAATCTCATCACTTTGGGAGGCCGAGGAGGGTGGATCACCTGAGGTCAGGAGTTTGAGACCAGCCTGGCCGACATAGCAAAACCTCGTCTCTTACTGAAACTACAAAAAATTAGCTGGGCATGGTGCTGGGCTGGGCGCCTGCAATCCCAGCTACTTGGGAGGCTGATGCAGGTGAATCACTTGAACCCAGGAGGTAGAAGTTGCAGTGAGCTGAGAGCTCGCCACTGCACTCTAGCCTGGGCAACAGAGAGAGAGTCCAACTCAAAATAAATAAATAAAAATAATAATTACAATTAAAAATTAGCCTAAGAGTTCAAGGCTGCAGTAAGCCATGATCACACCACTGCACTCCAGCCTGGGTGGCACGGGGAGACACTGTCTCTAAAGAGAAAAATAAAAAGACTAGTGACTTGCAGGACACCCCAGAGCGTCTCCTTTGCTCCAAGTTACAAGTGTCTGGTCAGTAAACCCTCTGTGTTGCATTTCACCTTCAGGTGAACAACGAAGGCTTCTCCGCTGTAGAGGACGGGATTCTGACCCAGCGTGTCCTGCTGGGTGACGTGAGCACTGAGGCCGCCTGCGCATTCCTGCACTACCTCTACACCGCGGACACTGGCCTTCCTCCTGGCCTGAGCTCTGAGCTGAGTTCCCTGGCCCACAGGTCTGGATTGCTCCCCAGCCTTTGAAATTAACTGACGAGGACTGGCAGGTTGACAGCTCTGGGGAGGGTTGTGCTGCTGCAGAGGGCTCGGGGCTTTGGGGCTGAGGCCGAGAGAACTAACAGTCCTGTATATACCTTTTAATCCCAAGTTCATGACCAGCGATGACCCCGTAGAACAGGGCGTGTTAGGTGAAAGTCAGGCCAGAACTGACACTTGCAGGGGTGCCAAGCACTGGATCAGGAAGACTCTGTTGAGTCCCGTGGTTTTTAACCCCCTAGGTGTGATAGAGAATGGCCCTTGGCCACAGTGCCCCCCAAACACTGCTGCTCAGTGATCGTTCCACTGCTAGACCTGAACAATGGCAGTCCTTTCCAGAGTCCCATAAAACGGGCATGGAGAGAATGCTTAGGCTGCATCCTAGATGCCGCAGCTCCCCTGGCTTGCCCAGCCAGCATCTTAGGAGAGAGGCAGCAGCACAGAGGGACAAGTGTGCCTCTGGACAGGGCCTGGGTCGCTGATCCAAGCCTGCATCCTCCCTCCGCTGCTCAGCCTCTGGGGTTGGAAATATACTGGCTAGGCCACAGAGCCTTTAAGCAGGTGGCTGGGTGGCTTGCCCATTGGCCTGGGCTGATGCAAGGACTTGGTCTGCTGTGGATTGTATCTGATGCCATGTCTTTTCATTTATGTTTTATTTTTTGGAGAGATGGAGTGTCGCTATGTTGCCCAGGCTGTTCTTGAACTCCTGACCTCAAGCAATCCTCCTGCCTCTGCCTCCCAAAGTGCTGGGATTATGGATATGAGCCACCATGCATGGCCTTTTTTATCGTTTTAGAGACAGAGTCTCTTGCGGTTGCCCAGGCTGGAGTGCAGTGGCATGATCACAGCTCACTGTAGCCTTGAACTCCTAGGCTAATTTTTACATTTTTTTATAGAGATGGAGACTTTCTATGTTGTCCAGACTGATCTCAAACTCCCAGCCTTGAGTGATCCTCAGCTTCCCAAAGTGCTGGAATTTCAGGCATGAGCTACCATGCCTGGCCCTGACGCTATGTCTTGAGAGCCTCTGAGGCAGCAGACTCCCCAGTTTTGTAACTCTGCCAATCCCTGTTACCTTACATTCAGCCCGACACACCCCTTTATGTCTGCAGCTGTAGTTAGCAAGCCCTGCTTTAAGTGTTGTCAGTGTCTGGTTTCTGGAACGAAGCGGCCTGGGTGTTTCTGGCAAGGAGTGCGGGCTCCATCTTCAAAGGGAGCAGGGCCTGGGTCATGGTCATTTCTACTAGTGAAGATTCTGTTCTGGTCTGCCACCCCACTGGGGTGCCCAGAGCCCATCTCCATGCAGAGTGGCGATGACCCTTGGGGTTTCATGTTGCAGGTTTGGTGTGAGCGAGCTTGTTCACCTGTGCGAACAGGTGCCTGTCACCACGGACTCAGGGGGCAAACCATGGGAGGAGAAGGAAGCCGAGAATTGCGAAAGCAGGGCCGAGAATTTCCAGGAACTCTTGAGGTCAATGTGGGCAGATGAAGAGGAGGAAGCGGAGACTTTGTTGAAATCCAAGGACCACGAAGAAGATCAAGAAAACGTGAATGAAGCAGAAATGGAAGAAATTTATGAATTCGCAGCTACTCAGCGAAAGCTGCTCCAGGAAGAAAAAGCAGTGGGAGCTGGCGAGGATGCTGACTGGCTGGAGGGTGGCAGTCCGGTCTCTGGGCAGCTCCTAGCAAGTGTCCAGGTGCAGGAACCGTCGGACAAGGTGGAGGAGATGGAGCCGTCGGAGCCAGGAAGAGATGAGGCCACCACCACCTGGGAGAAGGTGGGACAGTGCCCTCTCCCACCACCCCAGGGCCAGCGCTCAGGGGCATGGGGAGCAGAGGCCCCCGAGCAGGAGGCGCTTGGCCGTTCCAGTTGCTCCAGCCCTTCCAGGGGCTGCCGCGCAGAGAGAAAAGAAGACCCCCTTCTGCACTCGGATGATGCCGGTGATTACGAACAGCTCTTCTCATCAACTCAGGGAGAGATCTCAGAGCCGTCCCAAGTAACAAGTGAGCCTGAGGAACGAAGTGGCACTGTCAGGGAAAGGGGGCTGGAGGTTTCTCATCGCCTGGCTCCCTGGCAGGTGTCTCCACCACACCCGTGCCGCTTCCTACTGGGGCCTCCCCAGGGCGGGAGTCCCCCCGGGTCTCATCAGCCTCATTGCACAAGCGGGTTGCCCCTGTCGACACCCCGGTCCCGTGGCGGAACTTCCCAGGTGGGCTCCCCAACCTCGCTGTCTCCAACTGTGCCATCAAAGCAGAAAAGGGACAGGAGCATCCTCACGCTGTCTAAAGAGCCAGGCCACCAGAAAGGCACAGAGCGTCGGTCCATGCTGGAGTGCAGAAATAAGGGGGTCCTGATGTCCCCAGAAAAATCTCTGTCCATTGACTTAACCCAGTCAAATCCTGACCATTTGAGCTCCACATCTCAGAAATCTCCATCCAAAGTGAACAAAGACGACGAGGTCATCCTCTTACTGGACTCGGATGAGGAGCTAGAGCTAGAACAAACCAAAATGAAGTCCATTTCTAGTGATCCTCTGGAAGAAAGGAAAGCTCTAGAAATTAGCCCTAGGTCCTGTGAGCTGTTTTCCGTCATTGACGTCGATGCAGATCAGGAACGTTCCCACAGCCCACCAAGAAGGGAAGCTGCGCTGCAGCGGGAGGATGCGGGGGCACTGCCGGAGAATCGGGGCTCTTTGGGCAGCAGAGGGGCTCCTTGGCTGTTCTGCGACCGTGAGAGCAGCCCCGGCGAGGGCAGCACCACAGACACCTCATGGCTGGTGCCCGCCACCCCGCTGGCCAGCAGAAGCCGCGACTGTTCTTCCCAGACCCAAATCAGCAGCCTCAGGAGCGGGCTGGCCGTGGAGGCGGTGACACAGCACACGCCCAGGGCCTCGGTAGGAAACAGGGAAGGGAACGAGGCTGCACAGAAGTTTCCCGTCATCAGGCCCCAGACACCACCGCCCCAGACACCGTCCTCCTGCCTCACTCCCGTCTCTCCAGGAACTTCTGACGGCAGAAGGCAAGGCCACAAAAGCCCTTCCCGTCCCCACCCTGGGGGCCACCCGCACTCCTCTCCGCTGGCTCCACGTCCCATCTCAGGGGACTGTGCCCACTTCAGCAGGCGGTTCCTGAAACACTCGCCACCTGGGCCAAGCTTCCTGAACCAGACCACAGCGAGTGAAGTGGTGGAAGTCGGGGACAGTGACGATGAGCAGGAGGTGGCCTCCCATCAGGCCAACAGCAGCCCCCCGCTGGACAGTGACCCTCCAATTCCAGTTGACGACTGCTGCTGGCACATGGAGCCCCTCTCGCCAATTCCCATTGATCACTGGAACCTGGAGCAGACCGGCCCCCTGAGCACCAGCAGCCCCAGCCGCAGGATGAAGGAGGCCGCCGACAGCTGTGACTGCCGCTCCCCGGGACCCCTGGACACCACCCCCATCCGAGGAAGCTGCACTGCCCGGAGGAAATCGCAAGTGGGCGCGGGTTCCCCGGGGAACAGCAGGCTGAGCTTTCTGAATTCGGCTCTGTGGGACGATTGGGACGGGGAAGAGCAGAGGCCTCCAGAGACCCCTCCTCTAGCGCAGATGCTAAGCGTCGGTGGAGCTCAGAAGCCGGAAGGGTTAGAGACACCCAGTGAGTAGCCAGGAGAGCTGGGGAAGGGGACTGTCTTTGTTACTGTTTTACACTAAGTGGGTGTGGAGGTCGGTCATGAGACCCAGGGGCTGGCAGCGCTGAATGTCTGCTGACCTGAGGCACGACACTTCCGCTGCCTTCCAGACTCCCCTCCACGGTGGAGGAGAGCCAGGCTGGCTCTCACGCTGCACTTCTTAGCCAGTAAGTCAGTGTTTCCCAGACTTACCTGGATCCAGTGCTCACCTGGGCACGTGTTTCAAATCCACATCTACGGACCCTTCTCCAGAACACGGAGCCGGCACCGCCGAAGGCCGCGACTCATTCAGCAGGTATCGGCGTGCCTTAAGATCAGACCAGGGTGGTTCTTCAGAATACTAACTGCGGAACGGCTGTAGGACCCAGCAATCCCACTTTTACCTGTGTATCCAAGAGAATTAAAACAGGGGCTCAGACATGCACGTTCATAGAGGCGCTGTTCACAGTCGCCAAAAGGGGAAAGCAACCCAAACGCCCGCCAGCAGATGAACAGGGAGCCCAGCGCCGCCCATCAAGAGAACGGAATAGTGTTTGGCCACAACGAGGAAGGAGGCACTGCCACGCGCTACCGCGGGGACGACCCTGGAAAACATGCTGCCGGGTGAGAAGCCAGACACACAAGGTCATGTAAGGTCTGCATTCATGGACATGAAATGTCTAGAATAGGCAAATCCAGAGAGAACTCAGGTTAGTGGGTGCCCTGGGTTGGAGGGAGGGGGAATGGGGAGTGACTGCTCCCCATTTTTGGGAGGTACAGGGTGTCCTTTTGGGGTGCTGAAAATGTTTAGGAAATGGATAGAGGTGATGGTTGCACAACACTGTGAATACTTAATACCACTGAATTATTCCCTTTACGATTTCTTTATGTGAATTTCACCTCAATTAAAAAAAGAATCAGGTGGGACAAGTGTGAGAGGCTGTGAGGTCCATTATTCCTGGTCCCCTCAGGTGCAGGAATGCCACCTCCCTGCTCATTTCAGTCCCCGGGGAGAGTCAGAGCCCCAGGTGTTGGCCCCCTCAGTGCTGCTGCTCCCGTCCAGGCACCTCCAGGGAGGGTCAGGAGGGCCGGGCTGGGCTGAGCACCACTGGGAGAAAGGCCAGGCTGTGAGTGAACACCGGCCTGTGGCCTGGGGGCCTGTTTCCTCCCAAATCCAGATGAATGAGGCGACTGACAGTGCCCTCGGCCCTCAGGGGCTTCAGAAGCACCTGGAGAGCTTCTTACAGCACCCGTTGGCCCAGCCTGCCCTAGAGCCTCGCTTCAGGAGGGTGACCAAGAATTTGCATTTCTAACCAGTTCCCAGGCAGTGCTGTGAGAACGGCTGCAGGAGGCTGCAGAGCAGATCTGAGGCGGGCTTCAGGATGATGCTGCGGCCACAGGAAGAATCGTGCCTTTCTCAGGAGACAGAACCTGCCACTTTCATCGGGGGCTCAGAGGGCTCCATGGTCATAAAAGGGAGAAGCAAAGTCTGACTGTTCCTAATGTGTCACCAGGCTGGAGTGCAGCGGCGCGATCTCGGCTCACTGCAACCTCCGCCTCTCAGGTTGAAGGGATTCTCCTGCCTCAGCCTCCCAAGTAGCTGGGACTACAGGGGCCCGCCACCACTCCCAGCTAATTTTTGTATTTTTAGTAGAGACGAGGTTTCGCCATGTTGATCAGGCTGGTCTTGAGCTCCTGACCTCAGGTGATCTACCCTCCTCGACCTTCCAAAGTGCTGGGATTACAGGCATGAGCCACCTCGCCCAGCCTATTGTTTTTTAAAGTTACAGCTTTATTTAGATATAATTCACATACCATAAAATCTACCCTTTTAAAACGGACAGTTCAGTGGTTCTTAGTACATTCACAGTGTTGTACAATTGTCACCACTCTCTAATTCCAGAACATTTTCATCATCTCAAAAATCCCACACCCAGGGGCAGTCTCTCCCCTTCCCCTTCCCCTTCCCCAGCCCCAGCAACCAAGAACCTACTTTCTGTCTCGATGGATTTGCCTATCCTGGACATTTCATATAAACAGAGCCGTGTATTACTAATGCGTGGCCTTTTGTGTCTGGCTTCTTTCAGTTAGCATACAGTTTTCAAGATTCATACATGTGGCACGGATCAGTATTTTATTCCTTTTTATTTATTTATTTTGAGACGGAGTCGCGCTCTGTCGCCCAGGCTAGAGTGCAGTGGCACGATCTTGGCTCACTGCAAGCTCCACCTCCCGGGTTCAAGCGATTCTCCCACCTCAGCCTCCCGAGTATTTGGGATTACAAGCGCCCATCACCATGCCATGCCCGGCTAATTTTTTCATATTTTTACTATAGATGGGGTTTCACCATATTGGCCGAGCTGGTCTTGAACTCCTAACCTCAAGTGATCCACCCACTTTGGTCTCCCAAAGTGCTGGGATTACAAGCCTGAGCCACTGTGCCTGGCCTGTTTTTGAGTCAGGGGTCTTGCTCTGTCACCCAGGCTGAAGTGCAGTGGCACAATCACAGCTCATTGCAGCCTCGACCTCCCAGGCTCAAGTGACCCTCCCACCTCAACCTTCTGAGTAGCTGGGACTACAGGCAGCTGCCACCATGCCCGGCTAATTTTTTTTTTTTTTTAGTAGAGACAGAGTCTTGCTATGTTGCCCCAGCTTTGAGCATACAGTCTGACTAATACCCCACTGACGGTATGCCACATTTTGCTTATCCATTCATCTGTTAGTGGACATATGGGTTGTTTTTACTTTGTGGTTATTAATAATGCCACTTAGGAATATTCATGTGCAAGTTTTCGTGTAGACATAAGTTTTCATTCTTCTTGGTTCTATACTTAGGAGTGGAATTGCTGGGTCATATGGCAACTGTGTTTAACATTTTGAGGAACTGCTAGACTGTTTTCCAAAGTGACTGCACCATTTTAAATCTCCAACAACACTTGTTATTCTGTTTTTGTTGTTGTTGTTTGTTTGTTTGTCTTTTTGAGACAAGGTCTTGCTCTGTCGCCCAGGCTCGAGTGCACTGGCGTGTTCAAAGCTTGCTGCAGCCTCAACCTTCCTGGCTCAGGTGATCCTTCTGCCTCAGCTCCCGGATAGCCGGAACAACCACAAACAGCTGCCCACATTGGTGGCTTTGGCCACCACACCCAGCTTTTTTTTTTTTTGGTAGAGATGGGGTTTTGCCATGTTGTCCGAGCCCTCTGTGTTTTTTGTTACGGCTATCCTAGTGGGCGTGCAGTGGTATCTCATTGTGGTTTTGACTTGCATTTCCCTGATGACTAACGATGTTCGGCACCTTTTCACATGCTTATTGGCCATTTGTAGATCTTCTCCGGAGAAATGTCTGTTCACGTCCTTTGCCCATTTTTTAACTGGGTTTTTTTAATTGATGAATTATTTTTTAAAAACAAAACTGATGTCTAAGCCTGTCTGAAGAGTATCAGTGTGGCCCATTGTCGCCTCAAGTTGTCACTGCAGGGCAGACATTTTGAAGTTTCCATGCCTAAGTTTTAGTCACATGCCGGGCTGTTGGGTTCAGCGGCCCCAGGAGCCACGTTCAGCCGGCATCCGTGTGATACAAGGTGTGGTCCTCAGTGCGTGCCACCGATGCGGTCATCGGGAAGCCCCTGCTCCAGACAGGGAAGGGGTGACTGTTGTTGCTTTCATGGAGCAAAACGGTGCTTGGGTTACCTTCAAGTGCAGTATTCCTCTTGGTCACGCTACTGGGATCAGACATGGGCAATCCGTGTCCCTCGTGCTAAAACGTGTGCTGCTTTTGTTTTACCCAGAAGGTGTACATCGGAAGAAGGACTTGCCTCCCAAAGTGCCCATAACGCCGATGCCACAGTATTCCATTATGGAGACGCCGGTGCTGAAGAAGGAACTGGATAGGTTGGTGGTCTTCAAAGCTTGTTGCCCACAGTGGTCTTCTCCCTCCCACAAGTAACCAGGTTTCACACGCCTGGGGGCGGAAGGGTCCCCTGTGTGTTCTCTTTGGGTCTGGTGGATGCAGCTGGCTTGGGCTTGGGAAGAAAGGCCTGCAGTCGGCTCCTTAGGGAGCATGCGTGACTGCTGGGTGCCGGGTGAGCCGCCCAGTTCTCTCTGCGTACCATTCCCCAGGGAGGCAACACATGAGACTCCTGTATGTCACCCCTGGGCAGCAGGTCCCCATGTTCCGTGTGGATAGACATGGCCCTCTAGCCAGAGCAGTCTGAGTGAGGAGGCCTGATTTTTTTTTTTTTTTGAAAGACAGAGTGTCGCTCTGTCACCAGGCTGGAGTGCAGTGGCACAATCCCGGCTCACTGCAACCTCTGCCTCCTGGGTTCAAGAGATTCTCCTGCCTCAGCCTCCCGAGTAGCTGGGACTACAGGCATGCGCCACCACGCCAGGCTAATTGTTGTTTAGTAGAGATGGGGTTTCACCATGTTGGCCAGGCTGGTCTCAAACTCCTGACCACGTGATCCACCCGCCTCGGCCTCCCAAAGTGCTGGGATTACAGGTGTGAGCCACCATGTCCAGTGGAGGCCTGGTTTTTTAAAAAAGAACATTTAACTCTCACATCCACATGACACTCCTCTTACACTCAGGCACCCGGGGAAGCTTCTGCTGCCACCATCCCTCAGAACTGGGAGCAGCATATCTTTTGTTTATTTTTTATTTTTGGAGACAGGATCTCACTGTTGCCTAGGCTGGAGTACAGTGATGTGATCTTGGCTCACTGTAGCGTCAACCTGCGAGGCTTAAGCGATCCTACCTCATCCTCCCTCGTAGCTGGGACTCCAGGCGACACCACCATGCCTGGCTAATTTTTGTATTTTTTGTAGAGACGGGCTCTTGCTATGTTGCCCAGGCTGGCCTTGAACTCCTGAACTCAAGCTATCCTTCTGCCTCAGCCGCCTGAAGTGCTGGGATTGTAAGTGTGAACCATTGTGCCTGGCTGACAATGTTTCTTTTGGAATATTCAGAGTAAGCTTAGTTGGCGCCTAGAATAGACACTAACCTCTGATGCTCACAGAAGTCAGGCATCTATGGTTTGTCACACAAGCCATTCGCTGAATGCATTGGGCATCACTCTTTGCTAAGATGGGGAACATTGTGGAGTGTGGACCAGCTGTGTGGGTGGGTCCTGAGGCCCACCTGTCCCTCCGTCAGGTTTGGAGTCCGCCCTCTGCCTAAACGCCAGATGGTTCTGAAGCTGAAGGAGATATTCCAGTACACTCACCAGACCGTGGACTCAGACTCTGAGGATGAGAGCCAGTCCTCACAGCCGCTACTGCAGGCGCCTCACTGCCAGACCCTCGCCTCCCAGACCTACAAGCCTTCAAGGGCAGGGGCCCATGCCCAGCAGGAGGCCACCACAGGACCCGGGGCCCATAGGCCCAAGGGACCTGCTAAGACCAAGGGCCCCCAACATCAAAGGAATCATCATGAAAGCATCGCACCCGCACCCCCAAGCAGGTCGCCCACCAAGGAGGCACCTCCAGGCCTTGATGATGATGCCCAGCTCCCAGCCTCCCAGGAATCCGTGGCCACTTCTGTGGACGGCAGTGACAGCTCCTTGAGCTCACAGAGGTAACAGGATAGACGCGATGGGGTTAGTGGCCTCATGTATCCTCTGGCCCGTGGGTGTGAGGGTTGGCATGAGTGAGGCCTAATGGCCAATCTTCAAAAACCCCCATCACCTTCTGGGTTTGACCTATGGGAAAACCAGGTGGGTTTAGGGGGCTGGTTCCCTGACCCCAGCCCTGCACAGGCCTCCTGGTTCTCGCCTCACACGCTGGACATTTCTGGCTGGGGCAGGATCCCGCTGGGGTAGCCTGCAGGGATCTCTCAGGCCCGTCCTGCCTTGCTGGGGATCGTCTGTGCCACAGGCCAGGCTCCATGGGACCTGTAGACACCCTCCTTCCTTTAAAGAGGCACCTGGTCTCAGGTGCAAAACATCCTGGTCTGGCCCTTTTCAGTTCTTCCTCCTGTGAGTTTGGAGCGGCATTTGAGTCTGCAGGTGAAGAGGAGGAGGGTGAGGAGGAGGTCAGCGCCTCGCAGGCAGCCGTGCAGGCGGCGGACACGGACGAGGCGCTGAGATGCTACATCCGCTCCAAGCCGGCCCTGTACCAGAAGGTGCTGCTGTACCAGCCCTTTGAGCTGGGAGAGCTGCAGGCAGAGCTGAAGCAGAACGGCCTCCGTGTATCCTCGCGCAGGCTACTGGACTTCCTGGACACCCATTGTATCACCTTCACCACCGCCGCTGCCCGCAGGGAGAAGCTCCAGGGCAGGAGGCGGTGGCCTCGGAGCAAGAAGAAGGCGGCGCGGAACTGACGGGGCGTCCCGACCCCACCCCACCCCGCCATCAGCAGCCCCCACCCCCACCATTTGCAGGGAGGACCTGGGACACCCGGTGTGGGTCAGGCCTCCACAGGCATTTCTGGGCCTGGGGACCACATCAGCTCTGCACTGTGATGATGACCACAGCCCAGTCCGAGGCTTCCTCCTCTGGGCTCTGCTTTCGAGGTGGCATTTGGAGCATGTCACCCACTGGATTTAGAGACTCCAGCCCCTTCCTCTGTCCATGCCCACAGTGTGTCTCCCTTTTTGTTTTTTGGTTTTTTTTTTGAGACAGTCTCGCTCTGTCACCCAGGCTGCAGTGCAGTGGCGCAATCTCAGCTCCCTGCAACCTCCGCCTCCCGCGTTCAAGCGATTCTCCTGCCTCAGCCTCCCAGGTAGCTGGGACTACAGGCACACACTGCCACGCCCAGCTAATTTTTTATATTTTAGTAGAAATGGGGTTTCCCCATGTTGCCCAGGCTGGTCACTAACTCCGGAGCTCAGGCAGTCTGCCTGCCGTGGCCTCCCAAAGTGCTGAGATTACAGGCATGAGCCACCACACCCAGCCCAGTGTGTCTCCCTTTAACCCAGTAGGGCCCTCAGGTGTCCCAGGGGGCAGTGGGTCATCACCAGCTGGCCAGGGCATGGCCTATTCTGCCACATTTGCCACCCTCTGAGCCCACCAGTCCTGGGCACAGCTGCCCCACACGTCTGTTCTGAGATGGACATCAGGTCCAGCCTGCCCCAGCAGCCTGGGCCCGTCCTCCTTAGCATTCAGGCCAACCCCAGCCACCACCAGCCTGAGACCAGGTGTCCTCAGACTCCCTGCACTGCCACAGCCCAGGTGCAGCTCTCCTGGCCAGCCGTGCTACCCGGACACTTGTCATTGTTACCAGCAGTCTCCCAACTGGACAGTGCACAAGGGCCCAGAACAACTCTGATGCCCGCAAAACAAACATGTTCACTAGCGGGTTCCACTCTTTGGGTTAAAGCTGCCTCCAGCCTCAGGAGCAGTGTGGAGGAAGATGAGGGCCAGGAAAGAAGGAAACCTCGGTCTCTCCATCCCTGTGAATGTCCTCGTCTGTTTCAAATACGGTGCAGTCAGTTTTATATGATGTGCAATAAACCAAAAAGGCTTTATTAAAATCTGGCTGCCACACTCCAGGAAGATCACGAGGGAAACAGGTGGGAGCTGGAGACACCGTGGCCCTGAACCCCCGCCCCACGCCTGCAGAAGCCCCCACCTTGCACCTGCCCTTTACTTCGGAGTAAGCTGGGCCTGCTCTCTCCTCATTTCAGTTCCTAGACCAGAGATGCAGATGTTCATTAATCCCCACGCCCACATCCAACAGAGCCCTGGCCGGGTGCCAAGCTCCAGCCCCTGCTCCTTGAAGTGGGGCCCAAGCACCCCCAGCAGCTGCCTCAGCTGGGGGTTGCTAGAAAAGCGGACTCAGACCCCCGCCACCACCCAGCCCACCACACAACTCACCGAGTCACCACGTGCCTTTACCAATGCGTCCAGTCCAGTAGAGGAGACAGACACTGGCCTATCCCGGCCTGGTGGGGGGTTGGGCTTCGGTGGCCTGAAGGGCCGTGTCAGGGACAGCCTCCCAGAACTGGGGTTTGTGAGCTGCGTCTTAGGGCTGAGCAGAATTTAGGGGGTGAAATGTGGTTTCTGGCACACATACTGTGTCCTGGCACGTAAGCCAGTGAAGAGGCCCCGGCTTCCCAGCTTACGGTGTCCCGGGCGGACAATTTAGAGCCTGAGATCAGCTGTGATCAATCTGAGGCTGGCCTCTGGCCTGTTTTGGAAGGCATCACGTGCTGCTTCCTTGATGGGCTGATCCCCCTCCCTGGTGTTAGGGAAGCAGGAGGGAGTGGTGAAGGTGGGGCACTCAGGGCCCCTGTCCGGCGTCGCAGGGTTTGTGGTTTGGACGCATGTGTTGTGTGCCATGACTTGAAAGTTCAGAACTTCAGGGCTGGTAAAGACGGGTTGGGGGAGGGGTTCCAAGTAGTTAACAAGCCAGGTTAGGAGCCTTGAGTGCAGTGTGAGCCCAAGGCCAGGGGAGGCATGGCCTGGGGACTGGATCCAAGTCTCGCAGTGACCTTGGTTTCAGTTGGGGACGCTGGACACTTCCTGGGCCAATGGGCCAACACTGGGCAGAGGCTCGGTTTATGCACTGCCACCCGGCCAGGCGACTAGATGCTGGCCCTGAACCTGTACAAAGAAACATTTCCTTGTCCTGAAACAAGCTCTGAAGCAGCTGATGCCTCCAGAGGGAAAGGGGTTGAAGGAGTCACTGCAGGAGCCCACAGAGGTGTGGTGGCATCCAGGAGTAGACCTGGCCCCTGCCACGGGGATGACGCTGACCCGAGCAGCATAAAACCAGGTCCAGCTGACAGATGGAAAATGCCTTCTCACAGCACCCGCAGCAAGGCTGGCAGGCAATGGGGCCTCCTCGTGGACAAGGCGGGAGAGAATTCCCTTCCACGTGTGACTGAGAAGGAAGCTGGCAGCCCGGGCACGGTGGCTCCCACATGTAATCCCAGTGCTTTGGGAGGCCAAGGCAGGAGGATCACTTGAGCCCAGAAGTTTGAGACCAGCCTGGGCAACATAGTGAGGCCAAGTCCCTATTTTGAAAACAATATTAAAAAAATTTCTAAAGGGGGTAAAAAAGGCTGGAAGCAGAACTTTCATTGGTAACAACTAAATCAGAAAACGGGTCTGTCCCTGCCTCACTGTAATGTGAAGAGGCCTTCAGGCCTGTTCCACTTTTGGTGGCCCCAACCCGGCATGGCTTGGGCACGGCCCCTCAAGGCAGTTACAGGAGAGCCACAGCCCAGCCTGGGCCCAGGCGAGGAGGTTCACAGAGAAAGAGCCTGCAGGCAGGGGCCTCATGCTGTTGCCAAGTTAGGAAGGGCTGAGGCCACTGCCTGTCCGGCTGACCCCAGCTCTGGGTGGAGAGAAAGCCTCAGAGTGAGAACAGTTAGGAAGCCCCCAGCCCAGCATCCCCCTCCACCAGGAGCCAGGAGGACGGCCCATCTGGTTCTCAGCAGAGCGGGCAGAGTGGGGAACGGGACCAGCCCTGTGTGGACTGATGGACATTCCTGCGAGGGGGAGGAACAGGGGCTGGGCTGCTCCCCAAGATCCCATGGAGGAGGCTGTGTCCTCTCAGGCTCCACATCCATCCCCCGTGAGTCACGAAGGGAGGCAGAGTGAGCCTTTGGCCCCTTTCATGTGACAGATACCCACCGGGCCCTGCGGTTTCCAACATCCTGTGGGCGGCCTGGTTTCAGGCGCCTTTGCTGCTCCTCACAGCCGAGGCTGCAGCTGCCGGGTCTGCACTCTGCCTGCCTGGAGCCTCAGGCAGCCTTCTCGAGGGGCCATGGTGTCCTCCCAGCACCCAGCACGTTCCTGCATGCTCAGCATTGTTGGGAGGGAGGGAGAGGAAGGAGGGAAAAAAGGCAGGCAGGGGAATGTGCAGGAGCACTTCCGGCCTACTGCCTCAGTTCCCTCCCCCCATCACCCACACAGGCTCTGGGGAGCCAGCTAACCCTCCCACCTCCCCTGAGCCACAAGCTGCTCTATGAGTCCAGACCTACTGTTCTCCTGCTCTACAACCATCGCAGGCTCCCACTTGCTTGCTGAGGAAAATTCAGACCCCAAGACCCCTGTCCCTTGGCTCCCACCTTGTCACCTGCTTCCCTCAGTGGCCCCATGTTGCTTGCTCCCTGTCCCCGGTGGATGTCCCATACTTTTCCTTTATTGTAATTTTTCTCACGTGGCTTGCTCTGGGCCATGTCCTTTCCCCTCACGCCCTTCCCTGTCAGGGCAGGCCATCCACGCGCCGAGTGGGATCCCTTGCTGTGGACAGTGACATTCTGCTGTTTCCTCTTAGGGTACAGGTGACCTGCCTCTGGGGAGCCCTTTGGTCACAGGAAGATGTTATGGGGCACAGCTGAGTCAGAGGTGCCTACTGAATGACAGAGAGAAAAGAAGGCAAGAGGTGTTCAAAGGGGGAGCACAGTGGCTCACACCTGTAATCTCCATGTTTTGGGAGGCCAACGCAGGAGGATCACTCGAGCCCCAGGAGGTGGAGGCTACAGTGAGCCGAGATCACATCACTGCACTCCAGTCTGGGTGACGGAGCAAGATCCTGTCTCAAAAAATAAATAGGCTGGGTGCAGTGGTTCACACCTGTAATCTCAGCACTTTGGGAGGCCAAGGCGGGCAGATGACCTGAGGTCAGGCATTCAAGACCAGCCTGGCCAACATGGCGAAACCCCTCCTCTACTAAAATACAAAAATTAGCAGGGCATGGTGGTGCATACCCGTAATCCCAGCTACTCAGGAGGCTGAGGTAGGAGAATCTCTTGAATTCGGGAGGGGGAGGTTGCAGTGAGCTGAGACTGCACCACTGCACTCCAGCCTGGGCAACAGAGCAAGACTCTGTCTTAGATAAATAAATAAATAAATAAATAAATAAATAGGGCAGGCCACCGGGTGGCCTGGAGGTGGGAGGGCGCACTTCGGTCCTGGTGGGGTCACCCTCTAGTTGCGTGACCTCAGGCTGCTCACTTGATTTCCTGACCACCACCCGCCTGAAAACAAGCATTTATCGATAGCAGGGCAGCTTCCTTTGTGGCGGGATGGAGGTGATGTGTCAACAATCTTGGCACCGGCCACTTTATCCTGAGCATGCCACCTGCAGGGACACAGTCCCAGAGTCAAGACCCCCAGCATCACCGCCACACTTGACTTACAGGAGGGCGGTGACCAAGCCTGGGAGCCCTGGCTCCTCGATGTGTCTGTGAGGCTGTTGGCTGTTGAAATCAGACAGGAAGGAAGGTTGAGGTGGAGCCCAGCACAGGAAGAGGTGAGGACCCGGAGCTGCAGGGACAGCCGGTGGGCTCGGCGGGGCTGCAGAAGGTCAGGGCTACGCTGCTCTCGGCCGCCGCATGGTCGGTCGGTTGGCGTGGGAAGCGCCCTGATCCCTGGTCCTGAGGACTCGGGCTGGCACAGGGATCCCCAGGGCATCTACCACCACCCAGCTGGAGCAGGGCTGAGCCCAGGAGCACGGAGATGGAGCCCCCAGGCCCCCTAGTCTTGGTGTCCCTGGAGCAGCACTGAGGCCCGAGAGGTAAGCTGGGTCCAGGTGACCTCAGTGCAGGGCAGGGGAGGGAGAAGGGATGCTAGCAGGAAGGATGGTGGCCTTAAGGCCTGAGCTACTCTGGGGAGGGGGACTCGGGAGACTCCACAAGACTCCAAGGTGTCTCCTGGGGCAGGACTGGCTCATGCTGTAGAAAAAACAGACGTGGCCAGGGACAGTGGCTCATGCCTGTAATCCCAACACTTTGGAAGTCCAAGGCGGGCAGATCACTTGAGGTCAGGAGTTTGAGACCAGCCTGGCCAACGTGGTGAAACCCCATCTCTACTAACAATACAAAAAAAAAAATTAGCCAGGCATGGTGGCAGACGCCTGTAATCCCAGCTACTCAGGAGGCTGAGGCAGGAGAATCGCTTGAACCCAGGAGGCGGAGGTTGCAGTGAGCCGAGATCGAGTCACTGCACTTAATCCTGGGTGACAAAGCGAGACTCCGTCTCAAAAAAGAAAAAAAAAAGAGAGAAAAAAACAGACATGTGCCTAAGGATAGCCTAGGACAGGTCCAGAGACAAAGCCCAGCTCCCCCAGGTGCCAGTGATGGCCCAGGAGGAGCAGGAAGCATCTTGAAGGTGCTGGGGGCAGGTGGTGGTGATGCTGGGCAGTGGTGATGCTGAGCCATGGCCCGGGGAATCATCAGACCCGGACACCCTTCCTGGCACTGGGACCCCCCATGGGAGGCTACTTACTTCTCTGGGCCTCAGCTCCCCACCTGTAGATGGAGGTGACAACACAGGAGGGGCAAGGTCATGAGGGACAGGGAGGGTGCAGGCGCCGCCCCCAGGTGAGTGGGCAGCCCTAGGGCCTCTCCCGGCCACAGCCTTGGGTGAGACAAGGCTCGAGAGAGATGGCAACCACGGAGGCCTTCTTGGGAGAACTGCCACTGCCCTGGGCCAGCCTAGGTGTTGGCTGCAGGGTCTTCCCCTATGGCCCAGCTCCAGGGGCCCTGGTGTCCTTGCTGGTCCCCTCCCTGGAGGTGCCCCC